GGGCGAGGGGGGGCGTTCCTGGGCCGTTTGGGGGAGCCCTCGGGGTCTCGGGGGGCCCGTTCGAGCGGAGGGCGGGGGTGGGTGGGCGGCTGGGAAGTGATGTTGGTCGTCGCGAAGGGGGCAGGTTTTTTCCTGTCCCCCGCCTTCTCGGTCACCTTTTTCATTGTTTTGGATGGAAGGTGTGCATTGTCGCTGGTGCCCGGGTGGAATGTCGCCCTCCACCTGGGCACATAGAAAACACCTCCGGATAGGCACACCCCTCGTGCAGGTGGCTTCCCGTTTTCCCTGCTCAGGGCACTCCGCCGACACGCATGGCTACAGTGGACATTTGTCCCGAATATGGACAAGTTCCGGGCAGCAGATTCAGCGGGGCACAGGGGGAGGAGGAGAAGGAGGTGGAGGAGAAGGAGGAGGAGGAGGACGAGGAGGACGAGTAGGACGAGGAGGAGGACGAGGAGGAGGAGGAGGAGGAGGAGTAGGAGGAGGAGGAGGAGGAGGAAGGGGAGGAGGATGAGGAAAAGGAGGGGGGAGGAGGGGGAGGAGGAGGAGGAGGAGGAGGAGGAGGAGGAGGAGGAGGAGGAGGAGGAGGATCAGTGTACACCCAAGAGTCATCAACGATGTTGGAATGAACCGTCCCTCCAAGCTGCCTCTTCGTAGGCCCCTACAACGGTTCAATTCCATTGAGGGAACTGCCTCGTTGGAAGAAAACCGTTTGAAGATTTGAAGCACTCGGGATTTCAACGCCACGTATCAACCTGACTGCAGCGTCTTGACGATCTGGAATTCGTGCCAGAAAGCATTTTGGGGACTTTAGTGTCGCGAATCAACATAACTGTTGCGCCCGCATAATCCAGAATCCTTCCAAAACGCTATTTCTGGTACGTTGATCATGGGACTCCGTGGTACTCTTGCAAATGCTTGAAACGAATGTGCGCGGTGCTAAGGAGAGAGCCACATTTGGAAACGGAGCCGCCCTCAATCCGTGAAACTTTTGCAAATGTTTGAAACGAACGTGCGCGGCGCGATGGCGAGAGCCACATTTTGAAAAGGAGCCGCCCTCAATACGTCAAGCTCTTGCAGTTTTTTTTAATACGACTGTGCGCGGCGCTAAGGCGAGAGCCACATTTTGAAAAGGAGCCGCCCTCAATCCGCGAAGGTCGTGCAAATTTTTAAGACGAGTGTGCGCGGCGCTTAGGCGAGGGCCACATTTTGAAAAGGAGCCGCCCTCAATCCATGAAGCTTTTGCAGTTTTTCAGGCTGACTGTGCGCGGCGCTACGGCGAGAGCCACATTTTGAAACCACCCGCCCTCAGGCCGTGAAGCGCTTGTAGGGTTTAAAACGAATGCGCGCGGCGCTTAGGCGAGAGCCACATTATGAAAGCGACCCGCTCTCCATCTGTGGAGCTGTTGCCATTTTTAAGCTTCAGGGTCATAAGTGGTGAGGAGGTCTCAGGCGAAACGCCCGTCGCCCTAAAAACTGGCCTCGGGGCTCGACAGGAATATTTTTTTATATGGAGAAGGAATGGAGGAGGAGGAGGAGGAGGAGGAGGAGGAGGAGGAGGAGGAGGAGGAGGAAGCGGAGGGGAGGAGGAGGAGGAATATGCATAATACGATTGCTACGGATTGCTAATATAACTGATAAGAAGAAACTTAACACCAAGAGTAATGATGTTTATACAACAACTATATCAGAAAATGACAACGCACGAATACTTGTACGAATCATATGAAGCAGAGGAACACGAGCAGTATGAATAATCATATTGGTATGAAGAGTACTCATAAGGCGAATAAGACGAGCGACATTACAACACGCATATTTATTAACACACAGTAGCAGTTCACAGGACACGAAAGCTAGGACTGATAAGCAGATCTCGAACCCTACTGATACGATCGAGAAGATTATGAATATCAAGACGAATGCCCGCTACAGCTTCCCGTGAAACAGCTGGCCGCTGTTTTTTTGTGCTGTGTCCATGGCGGGACGCGCCGAGCCCGTCGTCTCCCTCGCGGGATTCATCTCGATCCGACCGATTCGACTCGATAGCGGTCCTGGCCGGCCAAGCCCGATTCGACCCCGATGTCCCGACGAATCGATGCGGCTCGATGTCTGCACGGCGCCGTTGTGCATCCTGGCGCGGCCGATCCGATTCGATGTCGACCCCGTGCCGACGCAGCCTGGCCCGACGCAGGGTCTTGGGCAGCTGGCGCGCGCGTGACAGCCGCTTGTGGCGACCGCGCAGCACACTCTCCCTCCCAGGCTTCCTGGCTCTCTCTTCCTTTCCTCCGTGGCTGGTGCTCAGCATGGCGGAATCTCCTTCCCTTGAGCTGGCACTTTTCATCCTCAGCGTACAGTCGGGGCCCTGAAGAAGGAACCCTTTTGGTTGGGGAGGGGCTCCACGTTCCTTAAGTGTTTCACAGCTTGCCTCAGGTTTTCCTTATGTTTTCGATAGGAAATCGAAGTTTGACTTATGGAAAAAAGGGGCCTTGTTCCTTATTTAGGGTTCCTTAGGCCAACGCCCCGACTGTAATGATTGTTTTGAGGAGAAGTGTCCCGATCCGATCCGCTTTCCCGACTTGGTGCTGCCCGATGCCGCCGCCCGTGGCCCCAGACCGCCGGACCCCCCGACCTCTCGGCAGGCCGTGGTCCTCATGCTGGAGCACTGCGCCCACAAGAACCACACGGACCTCGCCCTCCGTATCGAGAGCGCCGCCCGGGAGACGCCCCCTGCCGTCGCTGCCGTCGCGTGGTTGGCGTCGGCGCGGTGGTGGTGGTGGTGGTCGTCGTCGAGGTCGTTGAAGTAGGTCTTCGAGGTCGTCGGGGTCGTTGTGGTCCCCGAGGTCGTTGAGGTCATCGAGGCCGTTGACGTTGTCAAGGTCGTCATCGTCGTCGTCGTCATCGGAGGAGGAGGAGAAGGAGCAAGAAGAGGAGGGAGGAGGGAGGAGGGAAGGTGGGGCCCTGTCCCTGACGGTCTCCCCCAGGCAGCACCCGATGGCCGAGCATCATGCTTTTATGCAGGCGCTCGTCCACCTTAGCCCGTCGTTTCCAGATGACAGGGCCGTGCACGTAGACAGCCAAGCCTTGACACAGGCGCGTCCAGAACACAATCTGGGCTGGGAGCCCTGCGGCGCCTCAGGCAGGAGAAGGAGGAGGAGGAGGAGGAGGAGGAGGAGGAGGGGTAGGGTTAAGGCCCAACGCTCCCTGGAGGAGAGCGCCTCCGAAGCCGAGGAGCTGCATATCCCAGGGCGCGGGTATGCCGACCGGTGGGCCCGAGGAGGGGCCCAAGCTGATGGCTGGCCCGAGAACGGGCTGAAGCGGTACATGCTGTGTTTGCTTCTTTGCCGGGGTTGTCCCGCGCGATGTTCTTCATTCTTGAGCTGTGGCCGCCCACTTGTGAGCTCCTCGGGCCCCTCCAACGCGCACCCAAGGTTCCCAAGGGAACCAGTGCGGTAGCCTGAGTCCCTCATACCTTCATCTGGGACGGGAAACTTGGAGGCGTGTCTCTTGTCATGGGTCGGGGCCAGCCTTTGGGCCATAGCTAGATAGCTAGATGCTTTTCACTTTCAGCGTCCTTCCAAGATGTGCTGAATTTAGCGAGGAGCCTTGAGTACAGACATACTCTTCTTGTGACGGTGGTGTCGGCGACTGGTATGCCTACTCTCGTTTGTAATGCTTGCGGTGCAGTCGCGTTGAGTCGTGCAGTGCGGCTCCGTGAGCCCACTTGCAAATCTACCATCTAGTCGGACCTGAGGAACTTGCGAAGAGGGCTGCTGCCAGGGGCGACAGGGAAGGTCGAGTTCGACCCCCCCCCTGGCACCGTTGATCGTCCCGCCCCGCAGGTCCCTCGTCTTCCCCCTCCTCCGCCCTCCTCGTCCCTGGATCTCTCAAGCTCTCCGCCGCTTCTGGCGGTGTGCGTTGCGAGCACGAACACGGCAAAGCCGCCCGTGCTCCCACTCGCAACGCACACCGCCAGTGGCGGCGGAGAGCTTGAGAGATCCACCTACCAAAAGCACGGCGCTGTTCAGTCCAGCACCAGCATCCCATTCGTCGGCCAGGCTGCGATCTTGCTGGCGGTGTCCGTGTGTCGTCCTCCCACCCTGCGTTGCCAGAGGCTCCCAACAAGACAGTCAGGACTGAGGCTCGGCTTCCATTCGGGAGGGTGCCTTCTCCTCCCGCTCTGGAAGCCTTTCTTGCACTCCGCCCGTTGGCGATGCGCAGCGCTCGCGGGGGGGTGAGGGAGGCCGCCTTCGACGAGTGCTGGGGGCTTGTCCGAAGCTTCCCTGCCCTCCGAGAAGCCTTCTCAGAAGCCTGCGGGGTCCTTCTCTGAGGAGCCACCCTGACTTCTCAGAAGGCCAAACCCCCTGCCCCACCTCCGCGAGCTGCCGAACTCCTCAGGCCCTCGGAGGCTTCGGAGCCTCCCTGTGTGGCCAGGGAGGTTCCGTCGGGCCCCCCCACAGCAGGTCGGAGGAGGCCCGCGAGTTTTTCTTTCGCCTGCGCCGATCCTCCCCCGGCAGATCCTGGGCCTGGGATCGGTGGTGAAGGTGGTGGCGGAGGAGGAGGAGGAGGGGCAGGAAAAGGGTGGTCGGAGAGGAAGAGGACCCAGACCTCCCAAATGACCAAGGCCTCCAATGTCTTGCGGCGGAAGTGAACGTGACGCGTCAGCTTCATTGATCTTTATACTGGAGCTAGCCACATCTCCCCTCCCCTCGGCTGCCACCTCGACACTTACACACTGTGCCGACGGTTTTTGTCCCCATGATTCTGTCCAGAAGATAATTCGCCCTCTCCACGTATTTTGTGGTTGCACGCAGGATTTCGTATGCTGATTTCCCCATTTCTTTTTTAGCTCCGACTGTTTTTGGTGTTCAAAATGATGCTCCAGCTGCCGCGTTGGATTCGTTTTCAGAGGGGCTCTTTGCTCCCGTCGTTTTGACTGTCGCTCTCGCCCCTGCGTGGGCCACTTTTCTGGATCCGAGTCATTTTTCACCGTTTTCGTTCTCTCTTTTCCCCTCCTCCGCCTTCCCCTGGTCCTCTTGCTCCTCCCGCTCCTTCCACTCCAGCTGCTGCTGCTGCTGCTGCTGCTGCTGCTGCTGCTTATGTTCGTCATCGTCCTCCTTTCTCATCCTGTTCTTCCTGCTCATCCGCCACCTCCTCCTCCTCCTCAAATGTACGCAGCTCCCTTTTGTTCTGCTTGCGCATAGCACGATAAAAAGGGGTCCTTTGTGGAGTCCCAGGTCCGCTATGACGCGCGTCGGCGGATAGAGAAAACAACGCAATGGGAAGGGACGGGTAAGAGGGGCAGTACGTTAGATATTGCGCGAGTGTACCTAGCTCGACCACCCCTCTTTCCCCCCCTCTCCACCCTCTCCTCCCCCCCCTTCGCCTCCCCTCGCTCACTCCCTCCCTGATGTCGCCTCGTCTTCCCCTCCACCTCTGCCCTCTTCTCCCTACCCATCGCTTCCCCTCCCTCCCCCCCCCTTCCTCCTCATATCGTTTCCCCCCCCCTTCCCCTCCCTCCCTCCCCCTCCCCTCTAGACCCCTGTAGACCCCTCCCACTCCCCCCTCCCCTCCCCCTCCCCCTCCCCCTCCCCCCTCCCCCCCCCTTCCTCCTCATATCGTTTTCCCCGCCCCTCCCCTCCAGACCCCTGAAGGTCGCGACCTTCGTCGCAGCGCGGACCCCTGGAGGCCCGGGCTCCCTTCTGGGAGCCGCCTCTCGCCTCTTCTCGGGCAGCGCTCGGCGGCCCCAGGGCGGCATGGCGCAACGCCGCCCGCCGTGCTTGGGGTCCAGGTCTGGGCCTGGGTCCTCTCAGAGGTTCGTTCCCCCTGGGCCTCCCCCTGGAGCGCGCTCGGCTTGTGACCCGGAGGGGGCCTCCAGCCGTGGCGGCGAGGGCATCCGCCCCCGCCCCCCCCCCCCCGAGGCTCCGAGGAGGCCAGAAGCCACTCGAAGACCCCGAGCCTGCGGTCGGGAACTCTGGCTTGGCGTGTGTCGCGCCTCCGCCCCCTCCTATCCTCCTCCTCCTCCTCCTCCTCCTCCTCCTCCTCCTCCTCCTCCTCCCCCGCCTCCCCCGCCTCCTCTTCCTCCTCCTCCTCCTCCTCCCTCCTCCCTCCTCCCTCCTCCCTCCTCCCTCCTCCCTCCTCCCTCCTCGTGAATGGCGTGGCCTCATGGCTCGAGGCGCGCTCGGAGGAGATCGCCATAGCTCATGCTCAGGATGCTCCTGACCACACCCTCGAGCTGCTGGAGCGCTGCCTGGTCGAGGTTGGGGCTGAGTGCTTCACGAAATCACCCCACCTCCATGACGAGTACGCCCACTGGGCGGAGCTGCGCAGGACCCTCCTCAAGAAGCGGATCGAGTTATGAACCTCTCGAGTCCACACGCCTGATTTGGACCAGGTGGAGCAGGAACGTCTTAGACTCACTCGGCAGAAATACGTACGTGCTGTTCGTGAGTCCTACGTAGAAGCATCTTGCGAAGCCTGGGCCCAACGGGATTTGTGTGAGGCCATGGGCTGGGCTCGGAGGGCCCCCGGTGCCGTTTTTTTGTAAATCACAAGACGGACGACGATTTGGAGGGACACCGATTTCACCATCAGAATGGCCGGACGTTTGGTCCTTGCCTGGAGGTGGCGGGGGCATGCAGGTACGACATATTGACCTAGGTGAATGGAGGAATACTCGAAACGACCCCGATCTCAGCCAGATCTACGATATTGCCCGATATGACGAGCGCCCCGAAAAACTAGCTTACAGTGACGTCACTCGACTTCGTAAATATGTTCGACGTGCACCCAAACGCAGAGTTGTTCCTGAAGGATCGGCCCCTCTCGAGCTCTGGTGACAACTCCTCCATCCTGAACGGGGAATGTAGCACCGACGTCCACGACTGGGAGCCCTTCAGGCACCTGAAGAGCCCTTTCAGTTTCTCGAGACTTTGAAGGATGGCATGATGAAGATTAGGGTTTCGGATCTTACCCCGCTGTATTGGAGTGTAAGTGAAGGGTGTGCTCTGCATAAGTCGGCCCAGCCTGGACCCAGAGGCAAACGCGCCGTTCACGTTCTCCCTGTTGTTGGGAAATCTTTTTTCGCTGGCCCATTACCGAGCCGACTTTCCCATGAAGACTACGGTTTTCAACGTCATAGTCGTCGGGAGGGGGCTGTTCTCGCGTCTCAGGTGGTGGGCTGGAGGCGTCGGAAGATTGGGTGGGGTATTGGAGCTAGTTTGAAAGATACACGATTAATGCACTTGGAAGTTCGAGTTGGGAGGCTATGGGCACTACAGTGTCAATGCTAGTCCAGCCTGAAAATGTTGTATTTTGCAAGGGTAGATATTGTGATGCAGTCCTTCTACTACCTAGTGACGAGGGATAACCAGCGGTCAGGACCGGAGTTGGAGGTCTGATGGGCGACCCGTTCATGGCTGCAGCCTTCTCAGCGACATGTTGTCGACCTGTACAGAGATGGGCAGCTGCACTGCGCGAGTTCGACCCTACGCTATTGTTTCTCCGTGCGGAGCGGGACGGCCAGGAGGTCGACCTCAGTCTGTTTAAGTATGTTGATGACCTCTTCCGCTACACCCTCATAGCCCTCGGGGACTCCCTGGGGACCTTCCTGGCCAAATTGCAGCACCCCGATGATTGCCTCGATTCTCTCCTCCATGAATACGGGTACAAGCAGAGCAGGGGTGAAGCAGGAGTTGGCGGTCTGGATTGAGGGGGAGGG